CACTTAATTAACCTTGATTGTAATGAGAGGGGATTATAGTAGGGCTTGTTTATAGAGTACTGTCACTTTAATGACCGGAAAAGTGTGTCTGTTTAAGGCACAAGGTCAAGTCAAAATGGTTGATTTTTCGTAATCACATGAACGTTGAAATGGCAAACCTACGTAGTATTTGTTTCATGCTTGGCCCAGTCGGACAGTGTTCGATAAATTTACATTTGTCCGGCAAATAGGACCGTTTAGGAAGCCTTGATTGAAATACAATTTTTTTTATTTCAGATTGCCAGATTATTTTTAGTGTCAGATATCCTATTTAACAGTAGTGCTAAAGTTCCTAATGCCTCATTTTTCAGGAAATGGTAAGTTCTGTTTAATCAACAAAACTTTGTGATAAAAAGGGTTTTGCATCACTGAGATTTTAAGAAAAAAGTATGAAATTTCATAAAAATTGAAACTATGTGTTTTTTATATGAAACTGCTAGAATTACTTTAAAAAGGCAGATTTAATTTCTTGAGATTGTATTATATCATGAACTGGTTACCTGAGTTTATTCACCATCTGTAAAAGATTATCTTTCAATCCTCTGTCAATATGGCCTTGGCCCCATTTTCTGTGGTCATTTAAGTTATTTGAAGAAAAATGTGTAGCGAAGAAATTATACATGATAGAACATGCACACCTGAGAGATAAATTAAGTTTGATGTCTATTATTGTTACAGGCAAGACATTTTAGTAAGTCAACTATTGTAGTGAATTTGACATAACTATTTTCCTTGCATCATTACTGAAATCATTGTTTAAAACAATTTTTACTGATTGCTTACACACACATGTATTTAGATTTTAGACATAGAAATCATGCATATACAGTACAAAGTTATTTGCTGCTTCTCTATTATGCTTACAGAATATAAGAGTATTGTCTTTCTTAAAATATGAATGTAATATTTGCCACTGGATGTTCAGAAGCCATTAATTAATATAAGAGTATTAAGTTGATGGTTCTCACATCTGTGCTAATCTTGCAGCATATAAGAATAAGAGGAAAGACTTGTTGGGACTGAATTCCAATAATATATGCAGCTATCAGTGTCATCCAGCTGACTGTTTACTTGTGAGCTAGCATGTTAAAATGTGAACAAAACAGGATCTTAAGCATCCATCCAATAGGCATGTGATAGAAGTTTATCACTAGTGTATCTAATGTTCAGTGACATGAACTTTTTTTTGCTTTACAGTTTTCAAACAAAGCTTCAAGAGATATTTAAAGATGTACATGAAACCTATTCAAATATCGATGGAAGATTGAAAGCTGAACAGTTTAAAGTAAGCTAGTTTTAATTTATAAAGATGTGATTATGTATAATGCATAAATAAAGCAACTTGAGTGCTTTGATCTTTGATTCCATGAAAGCAATACCACTATTTGAAGATAATAAATTTATCCATGTGCTATCTTCCATGTGTTGACATTGGATGCCTAGAGTTTTGATTTTTGTGAAGATTTTTCAGACCTTTTATACATTATATACCTTGTCAAAAAATTATTTAAACACTGATAAAGAAAAAATATTGATGTAATTGAATATCAAATTAGTAAGAAATTATGAGAACAATTGAATAAATTGTGATTTATGGAAAACATTTTTTTGTTACTGGCTATTGATCTGACAACACAAATTAATGACATTAAGATATTGATAATACATAGAAATAATATCTCTTTTTATTCATTTTCAGCAAAAAGTAATGGGATGTTTTCAGGCATGGGAAGACTGGGCAGTATATCCAAATGATTTCTTAATTAACTTACAAAATATTTTCCTTGGACTTGTACCAAACACAAAGGTATGTGACCTACATACAAATGATCCTTTTCTACATTGAAGTTTTGCTCTAATAAATTTGATTTTTAAAGGCAGTGCTTTAATGCCTTTCTAGTTGCCGTGTTAATATTTCTTTCCGCGATATCCAACTTATCTACATGGGGGGTCATTAGGCTCCAAGTAGATCCGGAAAATGTTGATTCTCTCCTCATCTAATTGTGGTATAAAATGTTTTTTGTCTCATTTCATTTACATTGGGAAATAGAGAAACGATCATTGTGTTTTGTTAGTTTTAAAAACTTTTGATATATTTGTATTTTACATTATAAGCAGTCAACCGATTGACAAACTAGAATTATTTGAATTCCATGTGGAAAGAGGTCGGGTTAATTTCGAGTGTTATCTGCAATCTAGATGTTTATAAATCATTTCAGTCGTTGATATAATAATTAAAGGTCGACTGAACATGAATTATATTATACAATTTAAAGCGCATTTCTGTTTATGCACGCGAACCCGTCTAACATTATTGTTATTTCGCAGTTATATAAAGTAGCAAATTATCGTTCCTGAATAGGTGGCGCCGTTGTAGGGTTGCACTAATGACAGGACGATTGCCCGGATAGTGACAGGACGATTGACCGGATGAGATATAAATAGTCATAACTTTTTTGTTATTCGGTAGATTTTTTTAATATTTGTAGACCTTAGAGATATTAAACTATATTTTATGAAAATAAAATAAAATATATGAAAAAAATTTTTTTTGAGCAAATAAAGTTGACCGGACGGATTTCACACTCGCCGATATACGCTATACATATATTCAACTGGTCGACAACAGGTGTTAATATCTCTTTTGTTTTACAATATTTGTCGATGAAATTGAGGAATCTGTGAGAATAATAAATATATAATACGAAAATATAAACTTTATAGTAAACAAAAATGTTTTTCTGCAAAAAAAGTTGACCCGATGGTATTGACATTCGCCGATGTACGCGTTGATTATATTGAACTGATCGACAAAAAGTGTTTATATTTTTTTTGTTTTACAATATTTTTACATGAAACTAAGAAATATGTGAGATCAATTTATATATGATATGAAAATATAAATTTTATAGTAAAATAAATTGTTTTTCTTCAAAATAATTTGACCGGACGGAATTAACATTCGCCGATATATGCTTTAAATATATTGAATTGATCGACAAAAAGTGTAATATTTTTATTGTTTTATAATATTTTTTCATGAAATTAAGGAATCTTGGAGATCAATAAATATATGATATGAAAATATAAACTTTATAGTAAAAAAAAATGTTTTCTTCAAAAAAAGTTGGCCGGACGGATCCATGTGATATGCCAAGAGCAAAAGGTTATATAAATCGTCTTTGCTCAGTCTTTCTTCCTCATTGACTTTCCTACTAGGTTCTCAACTTGTTTTACATTTCTAGCATTTAACACTCCTTGGTGTTCACCAGCAACTGAACCATTTGATATGTTTTCCCTGTAAACATCCATAGCAGTTTTGTCACCTGACTTTATGTCATGTTCTATTTTTCTTAATACAGAAGGAGCAGTGCGTGTATACTCAGGGGGATGTGACTTTTTGCTGTTCCCATGGCCAACGGGTACATACACCGTTTCATCTCCCTCACAATGCACAAGTAGTAAGCTTTTGTTACTTTTGAAACTATATGCAGTTTTCTTAAACTGTAAAGAACCAACTGGTCTTTTTCTACCGTTTGTATTGTCTGTTGTTCCTGGTAATCGGATTTTGTAAAAATGTTTTTTAAGAACATCATTACCAATGGTGACTGATTTTGTATCATTATTTATCCACAGATATTGGTCACATTTCCAATCTTCTGCCCCAGTTTGAAACAAGTAAACTTCGTTTGCCTTTGGCTTATAAGGGGGAACATTCGATGTACGAGATGTTTTAGGATTTATTAAAATATCTACTATTTCTGTTTGATGTAATACATCTGTATACATATAGACAATTGACCCACTGTCCATTTTGATATTTTTATTCTTTGATTGGATTCTAATTGCCAACTGATTATATAAGGTAATTCAATTAAATGTATTTGATGTCTCAGGTGTGAAAACTTTAATGACATGTTATTTGGCTTGATTAGTGATTACGACAAGTGTCAAAATTAGATTAATCTAATTAAATATAAGTACTTCTAGTGTGCCGTGGTGAACTCACTCAAATCAACATTTTGGGCTCAAAGTTTTTACTATAAAGTTTTTATTTTCGTATAATATATTTATTAATCTCATAGATTCATTTATTTCATGGACAGATATAGAAAAAAGAAGAGATATTAACACTTGTGTCGATCAGTTCAATATATTTAAAGCATATATCGGCGAATGTTAATTCCGTCCGGTCAACTTTTTTTGCAGAAAACATTTTTTTTTACTATAAAGATTAAAATGTCGTATAATATATTTATTAATTTCCAAGATTCCTTAATTTTATGGACAGATATTGTAAAAAAGGAAAAGATATTAACACTTGTGTCGATCAGTTCAATATATTCATGGCATATATCGGCAAATGTTAGTTCCGTCCGGTCAACTTATTTTGAAGAAAAACAATGTTTTTTACTATAAAATTTATATTTTCATATCATATATAAATTGATCTCGTAGATTTCTTAGTTTCATGTAAAAATATTGTAAAACAAAAAAAATATAAACACTTTTTGTCGATCAGTTCAATATAATCAACGCGTACATCGGCGAATGTCAATACCGTCTGGTCAACTTTTTTTGCAGAAAAACATTTTTGTTTACTATAAAGTTTATATTTTCGTATTATATATTTATTATTCTCACAGATTCCTTAATTTCATCGACAAATATTGTAAAACAAAAAAGATATTAACACTTGTTTTCGACCAAATGAATATATGTATAGCGTGTATCGGCGAGTGTGAAATCCGTCCGGTCAATTTTAATTGCTCAAAAATATTTTTTTTCACTTATTTTGTTTTATTTTTATAAAATATAGTTTAATATCTCTAAGGTCTACAAATATTAAAAAAATCTACCGAATAACAAAAAAGTTATGACTATTTATATCTCATCCGGTCAATCGTCCTGTCACTATCCGGGCAATCGTCCTGTCATTAGTACTTCCCGCCGTTGTAGCCGATCCTGTACTTCAACTTCCGGTTTCTGCACTGTGCAACTATTACAGTTGCATTTTTAATTAACGATGCCAAGTACTTGTTGTTGTGTACCTGGATGTCATTTAAGAGGAGGACATGCATTTCCAAATGACTTAAAAAGAAGGAAAAGTTGGATCAACGCAATGGCCCATACGCAGATTGGACGAGAACACGATGAAATCGTGGAGTCCATCTCAATCAGCTGTTGTTTGCAAGGCACATTTTACTGAAAAAGACTACGTGCAGGAAACTATTCATGGTAAAACTCTATTTTCTTTTTAAAATATATAGTTATATATGTAATCGCCATGCGAATAAACCAAAGTCTGTTTACAACCGCAATTATCGTTTTAGAATAAAAGGGGGTGGTTAATTCAAGACGTCATAATTTTTTGGATTACGATTCAATGTGATCTGTTTGAGATTTTTTGGTGCTTGCTACAATTATAATGATTTCTTACAAGAGGTATATCATACTGAGAATTATTTTAGCAGTAATTATGCTAATGTAGTAATGACAGGAATGCATAAGCTATGTCTCATAGACTTTCTTGAAAAATATCAATGACAATGTTAACAGGAACAAAACGAATTATAGTTATCTCGTACCATTGTAAACTCGTACCAATGTCAACTCGTATCACTAAAAAAAAACTCGTACCAATGCAAACTCGTACCACTGCTAACTCGTACCACGGTAAATTCATACCATTGTAAACTCGTACCAACTTATTTAAATGCATTCAAATGGTGTTTAATGATGAATATATACTTTAATTTCACTCAATACCTCTTAAGTCTGTAAAATGTATATAATTTGAAATTGCAATGACCAATTTGTAGCTAATTTTCCTTGTCTAATTGGAGCTTATGTTTTATACTTGTATTTGCACATATCGACTCTAAATAAAGCTTTATGTCTTATGTCTTATATCTTACCGTGGCAGATTGGCTTTGTTGTCTCCCTTGAATAGACTCTTTTTTTAAACTTTTACTGACAACTATTTGATTTAATTTTTAATCATTCCAAAATCAGTAACATTGAATAGATTTGGGTATTTTTCTATTGTTTGTAAAAGGAATTTTATTTAATGAAAGAATTTATTTATTGTGTTTTAAAGGTTTACAATTGTTTATGACCAACAGTTAGAAAGTAAGAAATTTATTTTTATACAATATACAGCACATTTTAGCAGAATATGACCATGCTAATATGATTAAACAAGTTGATTAGTTAATAATCAACAAATAATCACACAATCAAAGGAATTTAATATATTTATTAGCATGGTAATTAAGAAATTACATTCGTATTTTTGTCTAAGTTTTCATTAAAATCTTGTATAAAATTCAAAGATATTTTAATTTTTTGTATAAAGCTTAAAAAAAAAATAATCATAAAACATTCGTATTTTTGTCTAAGTTTTCATTAAAATCTAGTATAAAATTCAAGTAATTCAACTTTTTTTATTTAGTTTACCAAAAAAAAAAATCATAAAACATTCGTATTTTTGAATATATTTTTAATGGTACGAGTTTGCAGTGGTACGAGTTCTGATTGGTACGACTTCCCAGTGGTACGAGTTTACGTTGGTACGAGTTAACTTTTTTGGTACGAGTTTACGTGGTACGAGTTTACAATGGTACGAGTTAACTTGCTTCCAACAAAACAATGACATGCTCTCATCTATATTATAGTTATTTAGGTACAAACAATGTATGTTTGTTGCATATGTCTCTCATTGTTTGTCCTTTGGATTTACATAACATACATTTTGATGTACATTGAATCAGGCTAACATAGTTTTATCCAGATTGTAATGAATAAATCTAGTTAATATTTTGCCAGGTAGTACAAAGGAATTATAGTTATCTCGTACCATTGTAAACTCGTACCAATGTCAACTCGTACCACTAAACAAAAACTTGTACCACGGTAAATTCATACCATTGTAAACTCGTACCAACTTATTTAAATGCATGCAAATGGTGTTTAATGATGAATATATACTTTGATTTCACTCAATACCTCTTAAGTCTGTAAAATGTATATAATTTGAAATTACAATAACCAATTTGTAGCTAATTTTCCTTGTCTAATTGGATAGAGAAAACCGTGGCAGATTGGCTTTGTTGTCTCCCTTGAATAGACTCTTTTTTAAACTTTTACTGACAACTATTTGATTTAATTTTTAATCATTCCAAATCAGTAACATTGAATAGATTTGGGTATTTTTCTATTGTTTCTAAAAGGAATTTTATTTAATGAAAGAATTTATTGATTGTGTTTTAAAGGTTTAAAATTGTTTATGACCAACAGTTAGAAAGTATGAAATTTATTTTTATACAATATTCAGCACATTTCAGCAGAATATGACCATGATTATACAAGTTGATTAGTTAAAGATAAAAAAAAACAAGTTGATTAGTTAATAATCACACAATCAAAGGAATTTAATATATTTATTAGCATGGTAATTAAGAAATTACATTCGTATTTTTGTCTAAGTTTTCATTAAAATCTGGTATAAATTTCAAAGATATTTTAATTTTTTGTATAAAGCTTAAAAAAAAAACAATCATAAAACATTCGTATTTTTGTCTAAGTTTTCATTAAAATCTAGTATAAAATTCAAGTAATTCAACTTTTTTTATTTAGTTTACCAAAAAAAAAATCATAAAACATTCGTATTTTTGAATATATTTTTAATGGTATGAGTTTGCAGTGGTACGAGTTCTGATTGGTACGACTTCCCAGTGGTACGAGTTTACGTTGGTACGAGTTAACTTTTTTGGTACGAGTTTACGTGGTACGAGTTTACAATGGTACGAGTTAACTTGCTTCCATACAAAGTATGCATTGCTAATGGAAGTTCATTTAATTATCAAAAAACTAATGTTTTATAACCTTTTTCAGGGCACAAACCCACCATACAGAGACTTAAGTCTACTGCCAATCCCAGCCTATTTTCCTGGACCAAGCAAGAGACTGAATCGTCCGCAAAAAGAAAAATCAGGGCAGTTTCCTGTGAAAACAAAAGAACTAAACTTGATGAATATTGTAGTAGAAATCTAGAGGAAAGTTTTGATTGTAAAGTTGGTTTTCCTGAATAAGTAATTCATACTGCAGACAGGATTTATGACTGTCCACCACCAACTGCCGAGCTAATGTTGAGCTTCACAGATGGAATTATGCAAACACCATCAATGCCTATATTTTCAGCAGAGAATTTTGAAATGAAGACACGTGACACAGCCATGCATTTTTATACCGGTTTAGAGTTGTAGAGTTGTATACTAAATTTTTATTTGTTTTGATCACACTTGGTCCAACAGCTCATTGTTTGAGATGCATATATTTTCAAATTGATAGGGTGTCATTTGAAAATCAGTTTTTTTATGACTTTGATGAAATTGATGCATTATACAACCAACTTTGAACTGTCTAGATTCTAGATTGAAACTAGTGTTAAGAATATTGTGTAAACATGGATTGTTTTTATGTCTAAACAGTGGCGTGAGGCTAACACTTGGCCATCTAGTGGTTAAGTCAGGTATTTTTCGCCATCCAACTTCAAATTAAAGTTTCCTACAACTTGGATTATTATTGACAGCACAGAATATCCCGTGATAAAACCTAAAGCTCCTAGAGCTCAGGCAACCTTTTCATCATATAAAAACAGAAACTTTGAAAATACTTGTATGTTCGACACCTGGTGGTTTAGTCAACTATGTCTCTAATGCATATGTTGGTTGTACCAGTGACTGTGAAATAGTTGAAAGATGTAGAATAGTTCAATTATGTGATCCAGGTGACAGTGTGATGGCAGACAAAGGTTTAAATGTGCAAGATTTGTTTGCTCACTTTTTTCAAAAAAAAAAACAGAATTAGTTCCAAAACTCTTATACGGGATAGAAAAGTCTCCAATTAACACGTGCACATAGAGCTAATTATTGGACTTGGCAAAACATACAAAATTCTAATAAATCCTATGAATGGAACTGAAACAAAACTTTCATCTGAAATAACATTTAGTTGTTTTATGTTGTGTAATTTTAGAACTTGTATTGTGCCAAAGGATGCATAAATAAAAGTGACGCAATGAAGTTTGTTCTGATATATATATATAAATATTATTTACAATTACATGCACATGTAAATTGTAATGCATATAAAAATAAGGAGATGTGGTATGATATTCAGTGAGTTTATCGAACCAAAGTGCATAAGAAATGGGTTAAGCAGTTACAGGTGTTACTGTCACCATACAATCTCCAACAATTAGAAAAACTTGTACCGTGTAAAAAATTTCAGAGATCTTACAACTAAGTTTTGTTGTCTCACCTTGACTTTGGTGAATTGTTTATATCTGTTGATGTAAATATAAAAAAGAAGATGTGGTATGATTGCCAATGAGACAACTCTCAACAAGAGATCAAATGACACAGAAATTAACAGCTATAGGTCACAGTACGGCCTTCAACAATGAGCAAAGCACATACCGCACAGTGAGCTATAAAAGGCCCCGAAATGACAATGTAAAACAATTGAAACAAGAAAACTAACGGCCTAATTTATGTACAAAAAATGAACGAATAACAAATATGCAACACATAAACAAACGACAACCACTGACTTGGGACAGGCACATACATGTACATACAGAATGTGGCGGGGTTAAACATGTTGGCGGGATCCCAACCCACCCCCTAACCTGGGACAGTGGTGTAACAGTACAATATAAGAGCGAACTATAAAAATCAGTTGAAAGAGGCTTAACTCATCAGATGGATAAATACAAATACAAGTGGACGTGGCCGGGTAGTTGTACATCCAAACAACAAAAAGACACTAAGTACAGATCTGAGAGTACTCGCATTTACTGACAGCTAGTTCAAAGCCACAAACAACTGATAAAAAAATCTTGCATCTAAGACTAAATTATCAACCCGTAAGCTCCCTTTAGAATTTTATAAATTTTAGATTTTACATTTCTGAGTTGTGGGGTTTTATTCATTAAAAAAGGGGGGATTTTCCAGTTTTTGGACAACAACTCAAAAATGCTTTAAGCAGTTCGCATGAAACTTTGGTGAATTATTTATCGCTATTGATGTAATCTCCCTATTGATTTTCATAAATTTCAAATATGACATTGAGAAGAAATTGAACTTTATTTGTTTATAGTCTGGCAACAGATTTATTAAGTATTGCGCAACAGCACAGTGTATTGCACAACAGCAAGAAATCTTTAATTGAATATAAATTCAATTCATATAACCGATTTCAAGTTCTTTGACTACATTTATTCAGAAACTATAATATGTCAAATATTTAATTACAATCCAAATTCAGACCTGTATCAAGCTTGAATATTGTGTCCATTTTTGCCCCAACTATTCAGGGTTGGACCTCTGTGGGTGTATCCAGCTGCGCTCAGCGAATCAGTTTATTACTTAATTAAGAACTCCTTTTTGTCGAGCATGCGACTTTTGTCGCAGAAAGCTCGACATAGGGATAGTGATCCGGCGGCGGCGTTAGCTAACTTCTTAAAAGCTTTATATTTAAGAAGGTGGAAGGTCTGGATGCTTCATACTTTGTATATGGATGCCTCATGTTACGAAGTTTCCGTCAGTCACATGTCCAATGTCCTTGACCTCATTTTCATGGTTCAGTGACTACTTGAAAAAAAAGTTAAGATTTTTTGTAATGTTAAATTCTCTCTTATTATAAGTAATAGGATAACTATATTTGGTATGTGCATACCTTGCAAGGTCCTCATGCCTGTCAGACAGTTTTCACTTGACCTCGACCTCATTTCATGGATCAGTGAACAAGGTTAAGTTTTGGTGGTCAAGTCCATATCTCAGATACTATAAGCAATAGGTCTAGTATATTCGGTGTATGGAAGGACTGTAAGGTGTCATCTGATCTTGACCTCATTTTCATGGTTCAGTGGTTATAGTTAAGTTTTTGTGTTTTGGTCTGTTTTTCTTATACTGTATGCAATAGGTCTACTATATTTGGTGTATGGAATGATTGTAAGGTGTACATGTCTAGCTGGCAGGTGTCATCTGACCTTGACCTCATTTTCACGTTTCAGTGGTCAAAGTTAAGTTTTTGAGTTTTGGTCTTTTTTTCTAATACTATATGCAATAGTTCAACTATATTTGGTGTATGGAAATATTTTATGATCTATATGTCAGTCATGCAGTTTTTTTTTTTACCTTGACCTCATTTTCAAGGTTCATTGCTCAGTTTTAAGTTTTTGTGTTTTGGTCTGTTTTTCTTAAACTATAAGCAATAGGTCAACTATATTTGTTGTATGGAAGAATTGTTAGCTGTACATGCCTGCCTAGCATGGTTCATCTGACCTTGACCTCATTTTCTTGGTTCATTGGTCAATGTTTAGTTTACTTGGTTAATGTTAAGTTTATGTGACAGTTGTAATAAAGCTTTATATTTAGGACTATCAACATAATATCAATGATTAGTAAAGAAGGCGAGACATTTCAGCGTGTGCACTCTTGTTTCATTCATAAATTACTTTATACTTGGAAATATAATTTTGCTTGGAGTTATAGTTTCTAAAAAAAAGTATTGTCTTTGAAAGAGTTGACATTTTGCAATGTACATTTATTCTACATAGTTCTATGGTACCAAATCAAAAGTTTATATTAAAGAAAGAAGTCAAAGGTTTCCCATCATAGTTTAGTTACATACATTTTTTTTGTACCTGAGGTCGTTGAATATAGATCATTATATAAATAAGGAGATGTGTTATGATTGCCAATGAAACAACTATCATCCATACATTGTACTTACCAGTAACAAACCACATTTGCAAAGTTGAATAAAATACAGTTGATAACATTTACTTATTACTAAAAAGAAAATGCCAAACTATTTTAAACAGTATTTGACTATAAACATAGATAAAAAAGGTACAAACTGGACATAATGCACTAGTTCATAAACAAGTGAGAACAATCGCCTTCATATAGTGCTCAGAATATGACATTCATAAAACTTTTTCAATATCATTAGAGAACTCTAAATCTTAAATACTGAAAGCCACCTCTGATAAGTACAATGTACTATGCAAGATAATGATATAACTGGACTAAAAATACACACAACCTGTAATTAACTGCCTTTACAGCGCTTTCGCGCTTTGATTATTTTAATAAATGACTAAGAACAAGAATTTGCAACATAAGATACTATTTACAACAATGATTCAACATAATGAGAAATGAAATGCTAATAAGATAACCAAGCATCATTGATAATATATTCAATAATTTAGCGTTTATAGATATAAAATATATAAGTACTGTTAGCATGTCCAAAATCTCTCCCATGTCCACAGTAAATAAAATAACATTTTATAGCAGTCTTGAATGCAATATAATAGTATGAAGGTCCAGTCTGTGATATAAAATGTATTAACTATTGTAGATTGTGGTCACTTCATACTACATAAATATATTAAATATAAATAAACAGGTGTCTATTTATAACAAAACATTCAAATTGTTTTCAGTGACATGACATTCATTAGCAATGAAAGTGTAATTGATATAGAAAAATGAAATAGTCTATCGTAGATTGCACCTCACTTTGACGTGAAAAATGTTTAAAAAAACTTTGTTTAATGATGATGGTCATTTACTTTTAACTAATACTATACTATAGGATTATTGCATGAATATTGTTCTAATTAAATTTTTTCATTGCACGAGTTTGCAAGTGCAATATATATTCTTCAAGGGATAATTTTTCCCAATGGGCAATAAACTTTTTATTGTATAGCAAAGCTTAGAAAACTGTAAAAATATATTTTGTCACTGAGTGGGTCAAAGCTATATTTGCACTATTGTGATATGATAGAATATTGCACACTAACTTGTCATGAAATTCTGTTAAAAATATGTTGCAATATGATAATAACCAACCCCGACCCTCTTAACACAAACTAAAGTTTTGTATGGCACTAGTGATTAAATGGTACATAACTGGAAAAAATATGATTGTAGGCTTTGGTTGAAGCAGTTGAGTCTGATCCAGAAGATTTAGATGGTGCTCCTTTGGATGACAGTAAAATAAAAGATGATTCTTTAGATGGTAAACCATTAGATGATTTAGAAGGAGACCCTTCAGATGTTGATGGTGCTCCTTGTAAGTACTATTTCCCTTTTTGTCAACTGTCCAGATATTTAGGCCATCCTTCTGATATCCTTTTTAAACTGGAAAAAATATTTCAGAAGACCAGTCTCCTGACATGCAGGATGAATCTCAAAATAAATTTCCTGCTTTCATTTTTACACTTAGTATAATTGATTGTGTACAGAATATCAAATACACAAGCTAACACCCAGTAGGTTTCATGATAAGTCTCTGAATAACTAAATTTCTTCAAGACAGTTTGTGATCAAGAACATGACTGGGTTCATCCACAGAATGTTACATAAATTGTCAGTAAATGACAATTCCTTCTTTTTTGTGATCATATTTATTTTTGATGTAATTCACATGTAAAGACCACAAGTTGTCAATAATATACATATATTCAATTGATTTGATTAAAACCATTGACCAACTTTGAAACAATTCCTCTATGAAAATTGATATTTATGAAAATAATTGTACAGTACAATTTCAAGGTCCATATAAAATATGGATGATATGCTCTCTGAGCAGTTATATACTATGTCAAAATATCCATTAAACTCCAAACATTGAAGTAAAAGTTGCTTCTCCTTACCGTTGTTCAGCTTACAACTTGAACACAGCATTGTATAAACTTTTACAGGTGTAGGAAAATTTTAAAAATGTGATTTCCATTACTAACTATTCAGAGGGGTTTTTTTTCACTGATAAATGAAAAAAATTCAATGCATCATATTGAAAATAAATTTTACCTTACAGTGATAGATGATTTGGATGGAAAACCATTAGAAGCTGAATCTCCTAATACACAGCCATCAACACCATCAGCCTCCAAGTTTGTCAAGTCCAAATGGGAGGCTGTGGATGAAACAGAATTAGAAGCTCAAGGTTTGGATATTTTTATGCCCCCGCCATCACCGGAGGGGGCATTTTAAAG